AGGCTGCCCAGGGAGGGAATTGAGTCACATCTCTGGAGGGGTTTAAGAGACGAGTGGATGTTGCGTTGAAGGACATGGGTTAGTGGTGCTCGTAGGGCTGGGAAAAGGTTGGACTCGATGATCTTGGAGGTCTTTTCCAGCCGAAACTGTTCTATGATTCTATGATTCTATGGGCTGGAGTTGGCACCGGGACTGGGGCTCCTACACTTTTCCTAGGAAAAATGAGTAGTTCTTGGGTCCCCCAAGGACAGATGGGTGCAGAGAGAAATGCAAGCTTCAGCTCATGGGGCACAACCCCCAGAGGGGCTGCCCAGCCCAATCTGCTGATGCTGTAGCTACTTCCCGCCTTGTCAACCTTTGCTGACTTTGCTCGAGCTCAGGAAACCTGCTGAAGGAAAGTGACATGGCCCTGCTGTAACTCCGAGCTCTCCCTCCCCAAACAGGCACCTGCCAGTTACAGATCTGTACTAATCCAACAGCAAAAAAAGCTTCAATAAAAGGCCTGATTCACACAACAAATCCAAAACGCTGCTCCTGCTCAGAGACACAGGCATGGGGTCACTCAGTTACAGAGACGGGAGCATGGCTACATCTCTCCACAGGCGCCAGAGCTTTTGGGAGCACGGCTCCGAGGGACCCCAAGCTATCAGCCAGGGGCAGGGACAGGCAGTGAACCATAGAATCAGAGGATAGTTTTGGCCGGAGAAGACCTTTAAGATCATCGAGTCCAGTATTTGGAGGTGCTAGGGTCAATGGGAGATTAGACAGCCGCTTCTCGGGGTGCAGAATGACCAACGTGGGACTCAGTCTCATGCTTCTGTCAGTTGAGCATAGCGCTAACAACACCAAGGTCGCGGGTTCGATTCCCGTTCGGTCCCCACGTGTTGCCTGATCTAGTCGAGAGGTGGTGTCCCTGGCAGCAGGGAGGCTGGATTAAAATGATCTCTAAGGTCCCTTCCAGCCAAGGCCATTCTAGGATTCTGTGATTCTACAATTCTATCTTGAAAACGCTCTTTGTTTTTCATCTTCCATTTCTTTACCTCGCAACCAACAGACAAGCCGCTCCACAAACCCAGCGACAAACCCACAGGGGCTTGACAAAGAAAAATGCATCTGACGGCTTTTAAGCCAGTTTTAGAAATTGGTGGGATATTCAAGGTTGAAAGACGGTTTCTAAACAGGTGCACGGTGCTGGCCAAGAGCTGACACACGAGAAGCACCAAAGATCCCCTTCCCTCCCCGGGGTTTAGCGCGTTAATGCACGCCCGGAGCTCAGCTCGGTAACCGATACGCCGCGCCGCCGCAGCGGGGCCGCTCAGCCTCACCGTCTTGGTGGAAGTTGCCATGTTCTCCATCTCCTCGTGGGTGACCCAAACGTTTCCAGAGGACTGCGGGGAAAAGGGCAGAAGGGTCAGGGCAAAACCACCACGGAGCTGTGGCCTCAGTTCATAACTCTGGAAAGAAGCCCAGGCTGACGGAGGATTTGGCCACTTGTGCTCTTGGAATTGCACTGGGGAGATCTCGTAGTGTCCCTGCAGCTCAGGCTGGTGGCACGCCGCTGTCCGTGGACCCTGCGCTGTCTGTGCAGCCACAGAGAGGGCAACAAGGACCACTGGCCCTTTGGCTGCCTTTCTGCTTTGGTGTGATGCTCATGGAGCCCACAGGCTTGTTTTCCGAGAGCTGTGACCTCAGCTGCGGCCACCCAAGGGGGTCACAGCACGCTTGGGGCCTTTCTTTCTGCTGCTCCCATTTCTACAGATGTGTCTTGGTGTTACTGGGGTGCCATTAACCCCCTGAGGGTGTTTCGGGAGCCACAAAAGGCACGACCCCTCCACCCGCTGCACATCGCATCCGGGGCAAGGCTGGGATCTGCAGTTGCCCCAGGAATTTCACAGGGTCCGAGGAAAAGGCTTGTATTGAAACGACTGGGAAAACAGCTGCATGTGACCGAGACGGCCCTGTAAATCACGCACGTGTTGTTTGGATGGGATTTCATCCTCTCCAGGGCACAGTCCCTGAACTCTGCTCTGTGCAGGCTGCTCAGCAGGGTCAGACTCTCGCCAACGACCTCTGAGTGTGAGGACAAGAGCATCTGCTGGTGCCTCAAGACAGGAACGAGCTTCACGCTCAATGGCTGTAAATGATCTTTGTGCCCGAGGACAAGTGCCTGGTGGTTTGACCCGTCCATGAGGGAACACCCCCGCTGCCGTGGCCACGCTGGCGAGTAACACCGGGACTCCCTGGCGCCCGATGGAGCACTGCGGTCCCAAGGAGCCCGGGAAAAGAGGGAAACGAATGTGTTGTCCTGCCCTTCTGGGGGAAGATGGGGAGCACTTACCGTCCGCGAGGTGGGTGGTGCTGAGGGGCTCGTGAGCGAAACCATCTCCTGGATGGCCAGGCGCAGCTTGAGGCGATGCAGCGCGTTGCTGATGCCGATCTCCCTCTGGATCTCTGTGTCGGACAGGGCCGACATGATGGCTCCGCTCTTCACGTTGGCTCGGCAAGCGGCAACATACCAGGCCGGCATCCCCACCCAGAGCTGCCAACACAGGGCAAAGCCAGTGACTGCTCGGCTGACCTACCTGCCATCCTCTGGGAGGATCAAGGATGAAGCTCAGTATCAAAGCTGGATCCCCACGTGGGGCTCCTTTTTGGTTTGTCCCTTGCTCAGATGGCCTGCGGGCAGCCCAGCACCCCCGTGTCTGATGGACACAGCACAGGGAAGGAGCAACCAATGGGCCTTTCAACTCAAAGCTCGACTCAGACCACAACTCTACAGAACATGTGAGGGATCTGGTGCTCTACCCTGCTCTGCCAGGACTTGCAACCACCAACCCTGTGCGTGGACCCAGCACGGAGGGACCACAGGGTGCCGGAGGAGGTCACTATGTATGTATGTATGTAGGTAGGTATGTATGTAGGTATGTATGTAGGTATGTATGTAGGTATGTATGCATGTAGGAGGAAAGGCTGAGGGATGTGGGGCTGGTCAGCCTGGAGAAGAGGAGCCTGAGGGGAGACCTCATCGCTCTCTGCAACTGCCTGAAGGGAGGCTGGAGAGAGGAGGGGCTGGTCTGTTCTCCCTGGTGGAGAGGGACAGGATGAGGGGAAATGGATTTAAATTGTGCCGGGCAGGTTCAGGTTGGATCTGAGGAAGAATTTCTTTGCTGAGAGGGTTGTCAGCCGTTGGCACAGGCTGCCCAGGGAGGGGCTTGAGTCACATCCCTGGAGGGGTTTGAGAGACGGGGGGATGTTGCGTTGGGGGGAATCGTTTAGTGGGTTGATGGGGCTGGGACAAAGGCTGGACTCGATGATCCTCAAGGTCTCTTCCAGCTGAAACTATTCCATGATTCTCTGATTCTCTGACTACAGACCAGCGGCCACTGCAAAGCCGTTGGTGCACAGGGACGATGCACGGGCACACTCTGCCTCACCTCCAGCCAGGAGACAACAGTGGGGCCATCCCAGTGAGCAAAAGGCAATCCTTTCCTCCGAGCCTCTTCCAGGAGTTCGTGCCTGTAGGGAACAGAAGCAGAAGAGTGATTTACTGGGAGCTTGTGGGCAAGGGAACAGCTCTTGAAAAGGAACAGACCACGGGCAGTAAGAACCAGTTGGCAGCAAAGCATGAAGGGAGCTACCAGGGCTCAAGAGAGAGTGAAGATGAGAAGCCTGTCAAGCAATTCCCTTGCCCATGTTATGGCTTCTCAGCCACGAGGCAGGACATTTTCTTGCTGGGGCAGGGAAGGAGATCCACTCACTTTTTCCGCAGGCGCCGATCCTTCTCAGCCTGAGCACCCAGCTTGCCAAGTCCCAGAGGATCCTGCATGCCCACCTCCACGTCGGTCAGCGTCACTGTTGGGCAAGCAAGACAGCCTCACGTCGGTGTGATGTCCCACGGGTTCAGTGTTGGGTACTGCCACAGACCCCATGCCTGGGTGTCAGGGATGCACCATCACAGCACAGGAGGTGACTTTTCCAACCCGCCTCCACAGCCCCCCTGCAGCCCTGGGAAGCCCGAGGGGATCCCCGCTCGCCGTCCCTCCCTCCCCTTTCAAGATGCTCAACATTGAAGCAGTAAAGGATTTAGGAGTGGAAAAGCGGCTCCTACCAAAGGGCTCTGCAAAATCACAAAGGTCCCATGGGAAGGGAAGAGGATTTGGGGACATTAAAGACATGACACAGAGACGGAGAGGTCGCTACCCTCGCCGCAGCTCTTGTGGAGCTTTACGAGTGATACCACGCTCGGGCCAGAAAGCACCAGGACTCAGCTGCCCTGAGGCTGTGGGGAGCCCAGAGCCAGAGGCCCCAACGTCCCCAAACTAGCAGGGTGTCCCTGCTCCTCCACCTGTCACCCCAACAGCACCCCAAAGCCAGACGGTGCCAGGGGGCGTGCAGAGAGCCCGGCCCGAGAGGACGCCCGCCCGGCACGGATGGGAATAGGGCTGCTCACGGACCCTGCCCCGTGGCCCCTTCTCTGCTCAGCTGAATCAAGCGACCCTTCTCTTTTTTCCCGAACAAGCGCCCGATGGAGGATTTGATCCCCTTCCTCTTGGAGCCCTTGTGCAAGGAGTCCTGGCTGCTGTTGCTGCTGGGCTGCTCCTCCCGCGAGCTTGGGGTGGTGGAGGG